AAGCACAATTTCTGGGGAAAAAAAGGGATGTAAATGTAATTTGGGTGCAGCGTTGCATGACCGCGCAATTGTCAGTTAAAATAACGCAGTGCTGTAATGCAAAAGATGGCCTGGTCAGGAAGGAGGGTAAATCCTCAGGAGGGCAAATGCATATATATATATATATATATATATATATATATATATATATATATATATATATATATATATATAGCAGGATACATTTGGTGTAAATTTATGATGAAATTTGATGTGTCTTTGCTAAACAAAATCCCAATATGTGTAAATTAATTGGTTTACGTGAAAGTTATAACGTATACAAATGGCGGTATAGATACTGGAATTTTCTTTAATTTTTACTAGTAATGGTGGCAGTCACCGACTTATAACAGGACTGCGGTGGACATTCTGACACTGGGGGGAACTGACTTGGTGTCACTGACATCCCCAGTCACACCAATACAGTTATCAGTGCTAAAAAAACGCACTGACAATGTACTAATGGCATACCAAGGGTTAACTGTGTGCTGGGAGTGTTTTACTATGGGGCCGTGTCAGTGTGCTTTACTGTAATCACATTGCTGTGGATGGCTCTGCTGTGCACAGCCATCCAGAGCAGTGTGCCCGAGCTGACAGGGAGGAGGACTGCTCCATGTCAAAAATCTTCGGAAATCACCGGGGCTCGCGTGTGCCCCTACCCGGAAATGCAAAATTACGTGTGTGTGTGTGTCATATATATATATATATGTGATTATTTCTGCTATAGGGTGGATGGGAAGCAGTTAAAGTCCACCCATTGAGAGGTCACATATATATGTACCTCCAGCAGGAAGGGGTTAAAATCCATTTAATTATAATAAATTTAAACAAACATTCATTTCAGGTGTAATTCTTTGTTCTGATTGTAGTATATTTTAATATACTGTAGAAATAAAAATAAAAATGAAGCTTAATGCACAAGGGAATATGGGAATGTGGATGAGGTAAGGATCAGAAAACCTGCAAGTACACTAGATCTCCAACTCTGAAATAAGCAATATTCTCTTTTAGATCTCACTAAAGTTTGTGGCAGGGCTGTAGTCAGCTTAGACTGATTATACAGTTTATTTAGCTTTCTCCTGATCTCAGTTGGGTTGTGCATTTCTCACTGTCACCAGTAGGTGTCACTGGTGCCACAGGTCATAGAATGAGATTGCACAAATAGACTTTGAATATTCATACAGTCAGGTCCATAAATATTGGGACATCGACACAATTCTAACATTTTTGGCTCTATACACCACCACAATGGATTTGAAATGAAACGAACAGGATGTGCTTTAACTGCAGACTGTCAGCTTTAATTTGAGGGTATTTACATCCAAATCAGGTGAACGATGTAGGGACTTACAACAGTTTGAATATGTGCCCTCCCACTTGTTAAGGGACCAAAAGTAATGGGACAATTGGCTTCTCAGCTGTTCCATGGCCAGGTGTGTGTTATTCCCTCATTATCCCAATTACAATGAGCAGATAAAAGGTCCAGAGTTCATTTCAAGTGTGCTATTTGCATTTGGAATCTGTTGCTGTCAACTCTCAAGATGAGATCCAAAGAGCTGTCACTATCAGTGAAGCAAGCCATCATTAGGCTGAAAAAACAAAACAAACCCACCAGAGAGAGAGCAAAAACATTGTCCCAATATTTATGGACCTGACTGTATTTCTTTCAGTCAGCCCCTGTAGGAGGTTCTATGCTGGTGCGTGCTGGGAGAGGACTTAAATATTTGGGCAGGCCCTTAGTTCGCTCTTTTGCTTCTGGCCGAGGCCTGAGGAGGTGCTGCTGATGAGAACTCCATTCTAGGCCCAGAAGCCTGTCTGGGCCTACCTGCTTTGAAGTGGTCCTGAGGCTGATCTGCTCGAGGTGGAAGAAGCTGAGCAAAAGTGAAGTGCTGGAGAGAGCTAGGTTGAAGGCTGGTCTCTCAGAAGGGCCTGGTGACTCGCTTGAAGGACGCACTAGACTCTGAAAACGTGCTTGCAGTTTTGCCAGATCAGCTTAAGGGTTCTGACACTGTGAAACCGGTTTTTGTTCTGGATCCAAGGAGTTTCTAAGTGATCTGTGTGGCATCTGTAACCCCTAACCCTCTCCTTCCACTTCCTTTCAAGTTCAACATTAAAGCTTTGAAAAAGCCCTAAAGTGACTGGCGCCCAACTTCTGTTCTAATCTCCCCTTTTTAGACAGTGAGTCAGGGGGGTGCTACACTACAAAATCACAAATTGTGCAGACTGAACTCTTTCAGAACTCTGACTCCTTGGTAATTGAGTCTCAAGCGGTGTCTGAATCTTCATTTCCAGGAAAGGACAGCATGCAAAGTGTTCAGATTATTCCCACACAACTACTGTATATCTCATCACATGTCCGTATGTGGGAAAAACAGTTACAGCTTTTCTTCCCTTAGGCCTCACTTCTCTACCTGCCTACAGCTTCAGAAGTTCCTCCAAGGAGGGGCAATCCCTGCATCCTTCCACGTGCCTAGTAGAGCCTAACCTCTAGGATGACATCCTTACATGGCAAAAACCCAGGAGGGAAGAAACAGATCAGGAAGTGGCTCAGATAGTTAGTTCTCCCAGCATGCCACAGCTGGTTCCCCCAAGCCCACTGATTGACCAGGCTATCAAAATCCATAACACAAAATAATATTGCAAAATGCTACATTCCTACACACTAATGTTGCATTTTTCTTTTGAAATGTATTGATGTACGGTAAAAAGGTTGCATGATGCACTTAAATAAATGTTCCATGTATGTTTATATCTGAGATCAAACACTGCAGACCACCCCCCCCCCCCCCCCCCCTGGTTGTAGGGCACTCAGCTGTCAACATATACTGATGTTGAGGAAGTGTACAAACTAAAACTAAAAACTGTGTTAATAAGAGCGATGTTTATTGAAGGGGTAATTCTACCGTATGACACCTCCAGAAATGTAATTTTCTACTTGTGTGATTGACTCACTGATTTTACCAGAAGTCTGCATTAAGATACAAGTCAGATTTTAGGCATCCTCTGCAACAAACATTTCATTTTTGTTGAGATACTCTCAAAGGGATAATAATTTCTTAAAGGATTCAGACACTGCCATTTTTTTAATTAGAACTTTGCAAGTGCATTAGATGAATTGGTTATTAAAAATGTTACTCCCATTCAGATTCACTTTGCACATTGATAAACAAACAGCTATTTCTTCAGAGCAATAAAAGGTAGGACTCTACAAAATTTGTTAAAATTCTTTTAATGCACATTGACCACCCGGGGGATTTTTTTTTTTTATTAAAAAATGGAGTTACCCTTTGACTTTGGACTATTACATAATCACTTTTCTGAGAAGCTATTTTTGCAGGCACCTCTGCTACCACACAGCCTTTAAAGTGTTACTAAACCACAACAGTTAAATCAGTAAAGGAAAGTATGATTCAACAGACCAGGCCACCTTCTTCCATTTCTCCGTGGTACAGTTCTGATGCTCACATACCCATTGTAGGCACTTTTGGCTGTGGACACAGCACGGGCCCCCTGACCGGTCTGCTGCTACGCTGCCCATACACAACAAACTGCGATGCCCATTTTTTCTGCTTTCAACACATCAGCTTCAGGGACAACATATTTACTTGCTGCCTGATATATCCCACTGACTTTCAGATGCCATTGTAATGAGATAATCAATATTATTCACCTAATCTGTCAATGATCATAAAGTTATGGTTGATCGGAGTATTTCGAGTCATGATTGCAAAGCTTGCCTTACCCTTATTTCTGATGTGACTGTTTCCTTTTCAAAGCTTAGAGTGTTACTAAGCCCACAACAGTACAATCAGTCTGTATATGCAGTAAAGCATGTTTGTTATACTGACTGTGGAATCTAAGGGGTTAATCCTCTGCATTGTATAAAAAGGCTCTTTGATGGAAGCATGTTTCCCTGCACCATAAGAATGACACATCACTAATAAGACTGCTCCATCATTATTATCCTGAGCACCTGGAAAAGTGTTGGCAAACCATATTTAGGCATATGTGCCTAAACTTTTGCAATTGCTAGAGCTAATAGATATCCATGAATGTTATGTGTGCAGCTTGGTACAGGATTGAGCTAATATATTTGAAGCTGATACACATATCCATATATTGATCCCCGTTGTGGACCGAGTATCTTTGTGTGTCATTTTTTGCAAGAAATATGGACACATCATGAATGACTGCTGGAGGCTATGTATCTATAATGTCCATCAGAGAAACTTGAGTTTTAAGTATACCTAGTGGAGTTGTCTAAAACACAATGAGTGTGAGCTCTGGATTGACTATTACATTATTAAATTGATATACACAGAACTGACAACCCTGAAATTAATTATAAAATATTTGGGAGAATTTGGCCATATTTAATTGGATTGTTACAAAGGATGATTTTCTTCTGTATTACAGTACATTTGATAAAATAAAGAAATAGCTAATGACCACATAGGGACATTATTATTATTATTAGCATTAAAAATATTTTTAACTAACTATATTATATTATTATAGTTCTATATTAGGACATTTTGTTGTGTATTGTGTACTGTTACTGTTACATATTGCTGATAAGGCTCTAATAGTTATTATGTTTTTATAAATTAATGAAAAAAAAAGTGTTTGAAATGCACCATCCCAGTAGTTGACATGTTTGTAATATCAAGTTAGCGGGTAACAAAAATACAAATAATAAAAAATTATGAGTTTGGGCAAGGACACAGGGGCCCCATGATCCCCTATTGCCCGGGGGCCCCATGAGTTGTCAGTCCGCCCCTGGACCAGAGACTGCGGACATAGTACAGGAGATGACCAGAGACTGTGGACGTACTACAGGAGATGACCAAAGACTGCAGACACAGTACAGGAGATGACCAGAGACTGTGGACACAGTACAGGAGATGACCAGAGACTGCGGACACAATACAGGAGATGACCAGAGACTGCGGACACAATACAGGAGATGACCAGAGACTGTGGACACAGTACAGGAGTTGACCAGAGACTGCGGACATAGTACAGGAGATGAACAGAGAACAGAGACTGTGGACAGTATAGGGGATGACCAGAGACTGCAGACATAGTACAGGGGATGACCAGAGACTGCGGACAGTGCAGGGGATGACCAGAGAATGCGGACTGTATAGGGGATGGCTAAGAGACTGCGGATTGTATAGGGGATGACCAGAGACTGCGGACTGAATAGGGGATGACCAGAGACTGCGGACTGAATAGGGGATGACCAGACCAGAGACTGCGGACAGTGTAGGGGATGACCAGAGACTGAAGACAGTACAGGGGATGACTAAGACTGCATACCTTTGGGGAGGGAGGGGGAACGGGTACCTGAATTTGACAGGTACCCGCTCCCACTTTCGCGGAGTTGTCCTCCCTTTAGTGTGGGCACCAGGCTGACAGCCGGGTACCCAGTGCGCATGCGCGAGAATCGCTGCGCTTTGTGATTGGTCCGGCGTCTTCTGGGACCTGTCATGTGGGACCTGCTCACACTAAAGATGCCGGCACGGGAAGACTGTGCAGTGCTGGACCGAGGAACAGGTAAGGTCCTGCTGAACAGAAAAGATGAGCGGTCGGCCTGGTATTCTCACACGGCGGCAACGGTGGGAATACCGGACCGGCCGCTCCATATTCGCTCCATATTCGCTCCATAAGACGCACTGACATTTTCCCCCCTTTTTTGGGGGGAAAAAAAGTGTGTCTTATGGCGTGAAAAATACGGTATATAGGTAAAAATATTTATGTGGCTCTTCTCCTCCTCTCTTTCATTGTCTTTGTAAGATATTAGACATGTGCAGAATGAAAAAATTTGTTTTATTTCGTATGGATTCATTAAGTTACTAGTTTTGTTTTGTTGCATTCGTAACTAAATTAGTTTTTGTTTAGTTTTGTTTCTTTTATTCGTTTTCGACCAGATTCAAATTTTTCCAAGTAGTAGAAGTATTTGAATCAAAAATATTGAATCAATCCGAATGTATTGTGAAGAATAGCTAGTTCTTTTCTATTTGAACTTTCAGAATACGATTATATTCATTGTATTCTAGTCTGTTATTTTTCTTTTCTTTTTTATTCTATTTTTTTCTATTCTGCTTTATTCTATTCTTGTCTAGTCTATTCTTTTATTTTCTTTTTTTATTATTTTCTATTCTGTTATTTTCTATTCTATTTTTTCTATTCTATTCCTTTATTTTCTATTTTATTTTCTGTTCTGTTCTATTATGTTCTCTTTTACTCTATTCTTGTCTATTCTTTTATTTTCTATTCTATCCCTTTATTTTCTAATCTATTTTATTCTATTCTTTTGTTTTCTATTCTATTGTGTTCTGTTTTACACTATTCTTTTCTATTCTATTTTATTCTATTCGTTTTGACATTCACATTTTTGAAGATGGCTATACTCTTTCTATTCTCTTCTATTCAAATCTATTCTATTTTTTTCTGTTCTGTTCTATTCCATTTTCTATTATATTTTATTCATTTATTTTCTATTCTATTATTTTCTATTCTATTCTTTTATTTTCTGTTATATTGCTTTATTTTTATTCCATTTTTTAATTTTCTATTTCATTCTTTTTGAACTTCGGAAGGGGGCTATATTGTAACACTAATACTTATAGTCTTTGAAGGAAATCAGCAATAGTCCGCAATATGTGTATATTTCAAATCCAATTTCGTTTTCAAATTTGATTTGAATTTCGGGTGAAATTTTTTTTCAGAACTTCATATTCATTTAAATCTGTTACTATTGTAATTTGGAAATTCGGGTTCATGGAATACCATCACATGTACTGGAAATCTAGATTTTGTCTGTAATGCTAGACAAAATTTTTCTTTTGTAACAAATGGAAATTTGGCAAGGAAACATATTAGGGAGGGTATTACTGTACCTTAACTAAACAAAATAATGAAAAGAAACAAATACAATCTTGCTTACAGGAAAATTTTAATAACAAAATATGAAGGAATATAAATATGAGTATACATACAGGAAAACAACTGTGCTGGCTATGCTTGCATAGATTCTGATCATATGTTAGTCTGGAAAAAATAGACAAAAGTACTTAGCTTAGGTAAGTTCTGGTACAGGACAGTGAACAGGACTCCAGGCTAAGGCCATCTCTGGGCAAATGTCAGATCAGATCAAAGTCCAGCCTTTGGCTGTTTGGCCAGAACTATTCTGAATATCAGGGACAGATAGATATGTACTTCTTCCAGCAAATGTGTAAAAGTAGGCCATACACAGATATTCATCTTTCTGGTCCTTTTGTTTAACCCCTTTCCATCACAATCTGTTTATTAACGATCCTTCGCACAATGTCCTGTGTCAGTGATAAATTAATAAACATCCTCCTATTTAAAGCAGAACTAAACCAATCGATTTAACGGTTTCAAGAAAGTTACATTCAGGCATACTCGGAATGCTAACTGTCACCTTTGCTTGTGCTCTCAGCCAAACTGTCAAACCATCAAATGGCTGGTGTCATAACTGATCACATGTGCAGCATCATGGCAGTTGTAGATCAAACAGAGGCAAAGATGGCAGCTTCTTTGCTGACAAGGAAAGGAGGGTTTAGTTCCACGTTAACCACTTGAGCCCCTGAGGATTTACCCCCCTTAATGACCAGGCCTCTTTTTGCTACTTGGCGCTGCACTAATTCAACTGATAATTGCGCGGTCATGCAATGCTGCACCTAAACGAAATTTACGTCCTTTTTTTTTCACACAAATAGAGCTTTCTTTCGGTGGTATTTGATCACCTATGCGCTTTTTATTTTTCACGCTATATAAACAAAAAAAGACCAAATATTATGAAGAAAAACAATATTTTTTACTTTCAGCTATAAAAAATATATAATAAACTCAAAGTTAGTTATAAATTTAGGCCAAAATGTATTTTTCTACATGTTTTTGGTAAAAAAAATCCCAATAAGTGTATATTGATTGCTTTGTGTGAAAGTTATAGCGTCTACAAACTATGGTATAGATACTGCAACTTACGACATTTTTTTGCTATACAGCGCTGCACTAGTTTAACGGACAATTGCGCGGTCATGCAATATGGTACATAAATGAAATTTATGTCCTTTTTTTTAACACAAATAGAGCATTCTTTTGGTGGTATTTGATCACCTGTGCACTTTTTATTTTTGGCGCTATAACCAAAAAATTTTGAAGAAAAAATTTTTTTTGAAAAAAACAATATTTTCTCATTTTGGTCATAAAAAATATCTAAAAAAAACTAAAATTTTATCATAAATTTAGGCCAATATGTATTCTGCTACATGTTTTTGGTTAAAAAAATCCCAATAAATGTATATTGATTGCTTTTTGTGAAAGTTATAGCGTCTACAAACTATGGTATAGATAATGGAATTTACACAGCTTTTACTTTCTGACTGCCCATCACATTTCTTGAGGTGCTAAAATACCAGAATAGTACAAACACCCTCAAATGACCCCTTTTCTGAAAGTAGACACCCTAAGATATCTGCTGAGAGGCATATTGAGTCCATGGAAGATTTATTTCTTTTCCACAAGTTTCTGGAAAATGACAAAAACTTTTTTTTTTTTACACGAAGTTGTCATTTAAATGATTTATTTCTCGCACAAGCCATGGGTATATGTGGAATTACACCCCAAAATACATTCTGCTACTTCTACTGAGTATAGGGATACCACATGTGTGAGACTTTTTGGGAGCCTAGCCAAATACAGGAGCCTGAAATTCAATGAACACTTTGAAAGCCTGAAGGTGCGTAACTTCCTCATTACACTTCCTCACTACCTATCACAGTTTTGAAGGCCCTGACATGCCAGGATAGCCCCAAACCCCCCCAAATGCCCCCTTTCTAGAATGTAGACACCCCAAGGAATTTAAAAAGAGGCATGGTGAGTATTTTGCAGATCTAATTTTTTTCTCACAAGGTTTTGAAATATAACAAAAATAGAAAAAAATATGTTTTTGTTTTTTTTCTTCATTTTCCAAAAACTTGTGGCAACAAATGAGATCTGCAAAATACTTACCGTGCTTTTTATCAAATTCCTTGGGGCGTCTACTTTCCAAAAAGGGGTAATTTGGGGACGTTAGGTGCTATCCTGGCATATCATGGCCTCCGAAACTGTGATAGGTAGTCTGGAAGTGTAATGAGGAAATAAAGCTCTTTAAAAGCCTGAAGGTGCTTATTGGATTTTGGGGTTCATTTTTCGGGTAGACTGCCAAAAAGTCTCTCACATGTGGTACCCCCATACTCGGGAGAAGTAGCAGAATGTATTTTGGGGAGTAATTCCACATATAACCATGGCATGTGTGAGCAGTAAATCATTTAAGTGACAATTTTGTGTAAAAAAAAAATATATATTTATTTTTGTCATTTTCCAAAAACTTGTGGTAAAAAAAATTAATTCTTCTATTGATTCAACATTCCTCTCAGCAAATAGTTTGGGGTGACTACTTTCCAAAAAGGGGTCATTTTGGGGGGTGGGGGCGTTTTATGCCCAGCATTAGAAGTTTATGCCACACATCATTCACTCTTCTAACACCTGAAGACCAAGCCTTTTTGTTCACATGAAAAAAATCAGTATTTTTTGCTAGGAAATTAATTTAAACCCCCAAACATTATATATTTTTTTAAAGAAGACACCCTAGTGAATAAAATGGTGGGTACTACAATTTTTTATGGCACATAGTACTCGCGCAGCGATTTTTCAAAAGCAATTTTTAAAAAAAAAAAATACACTTTTTTTTACTTTTAATGCACAAAAACACAATATATTGGCCAATTGTTTGGTAAAATATAAAAGATAATGGTATGCCGAGTAAATAGATACCAAACATGACATGCTTTAAAACTGCGCATGCCCCGTTCAATGGCGACAAACTGCAAACATTTTTAATATCCATAGGCAGCGCTTTAAAAGCCTTTAAAAGCCACCATTTTAGATTTACAGAGGAGGTCTAGTGTTAGAATTACTGCCTTTGATCTGATGTTCATGGCGATACCTCACATGCATGGTGCAACCGCTGTTTACATAACGGCACAGGGTCAAGGCTTGTGCACACAGGTGTGCGCGCATGGGAGGGGCAATTTTTTTTTTTTTTTTTTAGTTATTTTGTTTGTTTTTTTTATTATTTTTACATTGTACCTTTCATATTTTTTTTTTTTATCACTTTTAATGCTATGACAGGGAATGTAAATATCCCCTATAACTTCAATGGGCATTGTCATATATTCTTTTTTGAGAAATCTGGGGTCTATCAGACTCTGGATATCTCCTCTGCCCTTACATTATCTAATCAAACCAAAATCGGTGTGATCAAATGCTTTCCCAATTTACAAATGGCGCTGTTTATATCCTGCGAAACTGAAGTGATGAAATGCTTGTAGCTTCTGAATTCTTAGACTATAGAGATGATTGGCACCATCTGGTTTCCAATCAGCTCTATAGTCAGCTGGCAGAAACACCGGCTGCATTCTCAGGTTCCCCTGATGGCACGGGACTGCCCGAGAAGACCGTGGAAGGCAGCGGGGGAGGGGGGACATCATCTCCCACTGCTTGTAAAAGCAA